AAGGCGCTAGGAAGACTTGAAGCTGGGCACATTGCACAAGCCGTTGCCAATCTACAGGCTGCAGCAATGTTTCCGGGCCACCAACACCACAAATAATCGCCCCCGTACCGGCAGACCAAGACAGTGGGAACACACGGAAGACCAATCAGTACTGATACAGCACGCTAACGTCTTAACAGCAGGAACCTCCATTGCCGTAGACCTTACCGTGGACCTATCCTCACCCCTCGTCATTGGCGTGAACGTCTACAGTTTGCCCTACAACACCAAAACTGGCGATACAGGCAATGGAGAACTGTTCTGTTCACAGATGAGAGTCGGTACTGCATATCAACTGCAGATGGCAGAACAAGAATATGGCGACGATGTGGCCAACGTTACTCTGACCAATGTGTTATGGAAAGAGACTCATGGGGAGGTGCAAGCATCATGGTATGGGATGGAATAGGCCTGAACCAGAGAGTGGGTTGTGTGGTGTTCCAGAACCTTGGTCGAGGGAGAGGAGGCGGCGGCATCACAGCTGTGTGCTACATCGACCAAGCTCTCAGACCCAACGTCATACCACATTTCGCACATCACCGGAACAACATTTTCCAGCATGATAACGCCCAGGCCCATACTGCCAGAGCTACACGGGACTTCCTACAGCAGAACGGTGTGAAAATTATGCAGTGGCCAGCCCTTTGTCCTGATTTAAACCCAGTTGAACATCTTTGGGATTAAATTCAGAGGAGACTGAATAATGTCATACCGAACACAGACGATTTATTGCGCCAGGCCTTTCCCAGAGTGTGGTTCCAGGGTCCAATGGCCTTCATCAATCAATTGGTGCACTCCATGCATAGACGCTGTGCTGCAGTTATTGCCTCTCGTGGTGGTCACACCAGATACTGAAGTCAAGGGTCTGAATGGACTGCAAATGTTTACGTAATGTCTTGAAACTGTGCTGAGTTATTCATTGATGTGTCAAGATATTGTACACAACAAAAAGTTTTGATCCGCTTATTATGTCCATTTCTGTAATGATTTCATTACAGTGCCTGTGTAATTTTGAATTCGTACTGACAGGTTTTTTTGCTGCTGAGTATAGATTGATATTCATGCTGTTGATCGCTGGATTGTCTGGTCCAAACTTGATTATTTACTGACCACTGCCATATAGCTGGAATATTGCTGAGTGTGGCGTAAAACAACAAACCAACCAACCAGCCTGCATACTGGTACAACCCTGAGATTAAATTCTTTTTCAGAAGAGATCCTCCTAGGGGTACTTATAAGCATTTTTATGTCCATAAAAAATCCTACGCCAGTTGTAACCATATTTTGAATAAAATATTAACAAAACAAAAAGCTTGTTTTTGACTTGTTTGAACACCGCTGCAGGGCGCCGTGGGGAGCTCCATAGCCAAGAGAAGGTAACTCTAACCTTCAAATCACTTTCCATGCTGTCGTTCACACGGTGAAGATGTGCATGCTCTCCAGAAAACTTTTTCAAGTTGAATTCCAAGTTGAAAGAAACGAATACTGTATGTATGGTTCTTTTCTAATTGCATGGGTGATATATTGAAAGAGTGTCGAAAAATTTTCATTCATAAATGTTGTATCTGTTTTGTCGCCTCAACACTTGAATTCGGGCTTGAACAGTGGACAAGTCAATTCGAGCTCGGCTCTTTGAACCTTGCAATGATTCGGTTTGTCCCTGAGGCAAGTGCGAGATAGAATCGTGGCTGTGATGCCTCAAGCAGGGCCTCCCGGAGGAAGCCTTTGCTTCCAGCAAGGTGTCTGGGACACAGCCTCTCATTCTACCGTCACTCTGCCGACCTTCCCACATAAGAGCTGAACACTGAATGGTCCACTAGGCGTATCTCCCTGCTATGCAGAGGGAACTGGTGGACCGGGGAAAGAGTGCCAGTGATTCTTCATCGGTAGCGCTGGTGCGGCAACTGACGGAGGTCCACTCTCATCTAGCTAGGGACAACATTTGTAGCTTTGCCTGCCAAATGATGAGTGTGGTTATCGGCCTAAGTCACCTGTTTTCAAAGAAAAGGGAAGTCTGTCGAGCTTCACGTTAATCCCTCGGGCGCCCTCGGTGCACTTGCACTGGCAAGCAACATGTTTTCAGCTACAATGGTTCACTGCCTTATGCCACAAATCCCTGTTGATAGTCGGCTCTCACTCTTCTCTTGGAATGGGAGTGCTGGCCTCCTGGGAGAAGGTGGAAATACAAGGCAGCCATTGAGATGTTTCCAAAGGGTCAGGAAAATGTGTGATTCAACCTCTATTTATTTCCTCGATACCATATAGGACAGAGGGTTCAGACCCTTTCTCATTCAGTGGGCTGAACAAGTTAATAGATGTACTGTCCTTCAAGATGGAGACACTGCGTTCAGTGATCTCATCTGTCGAGGCAGGAGAATGGTGAATGGATGCATACCTCTATGTTCCAATGCATCTGATTTCAAGAAGTACCTTCCATTCTCCTTTGACGGAAATGCTACCAGTTTTGTGTGCTACCCTTACGCATCTCTATGGCGCCAAGGGTGTTCACCAAATTGAGGTTCATTCCAGCTCAGATAGCCAGATTGCAGGGCGGGTGTTGCCACTGGCTCCTCAGGACTCTGGCCCAACAGTTGAGTCGGGAAGCCACACTCTTACAAAACTGGGCTGGATTGTTAATTTCAAGTCAGACCTCATCTGGAAGCAGTCTTTCTTGAAGCGAGATTCAATAGAGGATAAGACTCATACAGCAAGCTTAGGCACAGCTGGTGTCCCACTCATAGAGCTACGAGAAGTTTCTTTAGACACTAAATTGGTTGATTCCTTGCCCTCAGTGGTGGAACGATGTCGGGAATCTCCATGGGCTCCCCCTGGAGACCCCAACGCTGACGTCCCTGTGGGCGGATGCCTATCCTTGTTATAGCAGAGTGGGAAAAGGCACCAATCCTTAGTGCTTACCACCCTCAAGGTAGGTCATTTACCACAGTGGAAGCAAGGCCCACCAGTATTCTCAGGATCAGGTGCACTTCGGTGCTGTCCTGCCCTGACAAGGTGAGGGTTCTGCAGGATGAAATCCAGGCTCTACTGGACAAGTCTAATATAGAGTGGTGGCGATGAACACCTTAGTCTCGAGGAACACCACATATTTCCTCAATACCAAACTACATCCCTCGTTCTAGAGTTACCATCGGTACTCTTAATACAAGGTTTTCAATTTTGGTGCTCCCCCTTATATCCACTGCTCTGAGGGTGTTCACCAAGCTCATGTTGGGGCCATCGAAACAACAAGGTCACAAGGAAGGTGTTCTGACTCTTTATACCTAGATGACTGGTGCTGCAAGCACTAACTCGACCAGCGAGCCTGGACTCTATGCACAAGGTGCTAGAAAACTCTAGTCCGACTAGGGAAGATCATGAACCTCAAGATATTCGACCCAGTACCCACCCAGGATCGGGTTTTTCCTCAGGTCAGAGATTCACGACCAGTGTTAGGTGTGACCAGTTGTTCGGATGTTGTCTGTTTATCTCTCGGGAATAGAGAGCGTTCGAGCAGACGCGCTCTCTTGGCGTATACTAGCCCCACACGAGTGGATGCTGGATACGGAGATATTCAGGATTATCTCCCAGTTGTACAGCTTGTTCTGAGTGGATCTGTTTGCCTCTGGAGTGATGAATCAGATAACGGTGTTTTGCTCTTAGATCCCTGTTCTGAGGGCATGAGCCTCTGACTGTGGGCCTTCCCACCAATACCACTGATCCCCAAGGTCCACTCGCAGCTAGCCTACCCCACCAGCTTGACTACTTGTGATACTTGCACCTCATTGGTCAGCTCAGAGCTGGTTTATGGTGACCCACCAATACCACTGATCCCCAAGGTCCACTCGCAGCTAGCCACCCCACCAGTTTGACTACTTGTGATACTTGCACCTCATTGGTCAGCTCAGAGCTGGTTTATTGTAACCCACCAATACCACTGATCCCCAAGGTCCACTCGCAGCTAGCCACCCCACCAGCTTGACTACTTGTGATACTTGCACCTCATTGGTCGGCTCAGAGCTGGTTTATTGTAAACCTCAGGGTTCTGGTTCAGCCAATTGTACCATTACCCTTTTGAAGGGGTATTATATCCCAGAATGGAGTGCTCCGAATCCCTGACAGAATGCCACTCCCGGCTTTAATCTATGGGAGTCTGTCTTATGCTTATAAGTACCCCATGGAGGACCTCTACTGAAAAAGAATCACACCAACCTGTAGAGGTTGCTGATTCTTGGAAGAGAGTCCTCCTCGAGGTAGGGCCACCCTCCTCCCCACATTCTGTCTGATCATGATCAGCATGGAAATTGATTTGCGAGGTTGAAGGTTAAAGTTACTTTCTCTTGGCTGTGGGGCCCCGCTGGGACCTGCAGGTGTGGTCAAACAAGACAAAAACAAGTTTTTTGTTTTGTAGATATTTTATTCAAAATATGGTTACAACTGTCGTAGGAATTTTTAATGGACATAAAAGTGCTTATAAGTACCCCAAGGAGGACTCTCTTCAAAGAATCAAAGTCAAAGTCAAAATATGTTTATTTGTATGTTAGGCCACCGGCCCATATACAGCGGTTACAAAGAAGGTTCTTATTTAGGAGGATAACAATTGTTTTCTTAACATGATAGCATGATGGATATACAGTGATAATCTTTTTAAAATGGAGACATCGCATGAGGAAACAATTTTGTAAAATGCTGCATTATTACTTCTGATTGTAATACAATTACGGAGATAATCAGAACGGAATCAGTAACCTCTCATCCCCCCAAAAAGTACTAGAATCTGTATTTTACTGAGAAAGAGTAATCACAAATATAACATATGTTACTCTACAGGTTGGTGTGAGTATTGTTTGATCTTCAGCCTAGTCATGAAGACGTCACTGTGAAGGGCTGCTGTTTGCTGCCTCAATTACTTATATGTACACCTGTTGTTGAATATTTTTAGAACAAAATTATTGTTTATCACACAGGGAGGGAGAGAGCTGATGAAACTGATGGGATACACACAGGAGATTGAGGATGGGCTCTTTTTCCCGGAACCAGAGGAACCAAACCTTGATCAAACAGCAAATATGGTTGCAGACATTGTCCTGGCAAAGAAGCAGATGGAAATGTACCTAAGTGGAGTACATCCTAATCAGACTGAAGTTGAGCAGTTTATTCCACCAAATGTTGTGTATGTAAAATATTTTGGAATAACTGAATGAAACAACTGGAGACAATTGATGAAAATTTGTGAAAAGTTAAAGATGCACAGTATCTTTGCTGACTTTACAAAATTAGCAAGCCTTGTGAGACTATTTGCAAATGCAGTGTTTAGTTATTTGATTCATGGTTTACATGTGTTAAGTAAGAACACCTCTTTTCTTCCTTTGTCATTTCAATTGCATAATGAACAATATCTTGAAAAAATATATGTCACCAGCAGGTTTCAAACTTGTGCAGTCTGCTCCAAAGGAGACCTTAACATCTCATGACAACAAAATCATAAAGTTCCTTTTACGGAATAGACCATGAATTGACAGAAAATATGTATGATCAATTCAAAACAATTGATGTACAACACAGCCTCTTTGACCTCTGACCCACTAACTGACATCACTATTTATGATCTCTTTTGCCTCTAAGCCTATCATATCTTGTTGAAGCCATTTTATTGCCAGAGGCATGATTTTTAGACCCTGCAACTTGTTCAAAAGTTCACATGTGGAAATGAATTATGTCTTAAATTGTTGTTTGTTGTTGTTAATGATTATGTCAGGTATGCTCAATGGCATTAAAGTGTGTCTTTAACTTCATTGTGTTTAATGTTCATAAACTGACACAAATATAAGTATAACATACAATATACGATTAGATAAACATTACTAGATATATACATATGCATAAATTTGTTATTGTTGCAGTTTGTGAAAATAAAACTTTTAAGTTATTGCTGATACAAGTAATATAGAATTGTGTTACCTGTGAGTCTTATGGTTGGCTGACCCCAACAAGATGATGTCATATTGGTCAGTAGCAAGATCATTAATTAATTCAACAATTTCCATTAAAAGTGGAATTTAACCTGACGTATTTTGATTGCCTGATGACATGAAAAGAATCTGAAAATATCATTAAGTGTTGATGCTCAGATTGATTATTGATATATATGAGCGCTGTTTAAATTTAAACAAATCTTTTTTCATGACAGCAAAAATTGTTGATTCTCAGGATTGTTGAATATTCTTGTGATTAGTTTTGCATGATTGCAGCCAAAATGCAGGATTTATCACAGTGATGTAAAAGAGGTAGTATTCTTAGAATATTAACAATGATAACTACTGTCTGATGTCTGTCAGTATTTTAATTGTGAAATATTTGTTTGTTTTAATTTCTGGTTAACTTTGTCCAAAATTGCAAGTGATCAAAGCAACTTTGGCTGCTAATAATATATAGCCAGTTTGAATATTCTACTGCTATGAATTTTTTTATGGTTTTAAAACAAATTTGTGATACTCTAGTTGTTTTGTTGTCTACAGTTTTTTAGATTGTCTGAAGCCTTGACTGATCAAGATTAAGATATGTGTATGGCATTTACCAAGCTTAATTTTGTGTTTTCTTTCTGTGTAGCTCTGATGTGGAGATGCTGCGTGTTGGAGTAAGCATCAGTGACTTGGGTCAGTGGTCACCAACTGGAGCATCAACTGAAGGGGAAAAGTACAGGCAAGTTTCTTCCCACATTTCACTTCTGTTCATATACCCATTTGTTTGGTTAAGTTTTGGGGCAAATTAAAGCAGGGTTGATGAAGACACCAGTAAAGCTGAGTACAGAATATATTCTGTTTCATGTTAATTATGTTTTAAGGTTTTACCTTAATTGCTCCACTTAGTTTCTGAAACTAGGCAGTGCTTTGGATATCTCAGGGATATCATTCTTTGAAGGATGTAGACCATTGTCAAAGTCACATCCAGGGAAAAGCCTGGGACCACCTGACAAGAAAAAGGTGTTATAGAGTTCATTGAAACTAGGTGCATGTCATGCTTATACAAGAAGTGAATGATCTGTATCATGTCAAGGTAAAGTATGTTATGACTTTTTCTGGGTTGCCTGTTTCTGCAGACATGTATGTAGTGGTTAATCAATCACTTGCATAGTTATGAGCCTTGAATGGTAATGTTTCAGCCTCACATTGAAAGACTTGATTCAAAGACATTTCAGCTTCATAAAGGTCTGTTGCTGTTTGTCCAAAAGTTGGCCACAGCTGCTGTGACATCATCTTTTGAGTCCAAATATGTTCCAGCAAGAGTTTTTAAAAAAACACGACAACACATCAGTTCACTGTGTTTACGTGCTCATTCCCAGGTTGGATCTAAAAGATAACTGGTAATGCCATCCATCAAAGAGCAAGTTGTGAAACCAACAAAGAAATGTTTTGTTAATAACACTTGTATTCCAAGGTTAACTAAGTTCACAAATAAATACAAAGGTATCACTGTGGCAGTACAAAACTTGTGTGGCAGTTCAAACTCAGAGGTAATATAATACAAGAGCAGTGATTATAGCAATAAAGACAATGATGGTAATACTTCTGGTATAAAGTAACTGTGCACTTTTTGTATGTTATGCCATTTTTTTATGCAAAAAGATAATAACATGATTTGTGGTGTTTTCCAAAAGACAGGTCACAAATTCAGTATCGTGTGTCCACCATGGGCATTGATGCAGGCTTGACAACGCCGCCGCATAGACAACACTAAGCAATGGAAGAAAGCTTGGGGAATGTTGTTTCATGTCCGAACCAACGCTTGTCCCAACTGAGCTTATGTCAGTGGCTGATTCTGGACTTGACATATGTAATGAATGCCTGTATTATCATTATTTCATTTTATCCATCCATAAGCAGATACAGATATTATATCTTACATCTAAAAATAGAACCAATCTGGAAACGGAAATGGTGTAACGATTGGTAGTTGGAAAGGGGAATAAAAAAAGATGGCGCTTCCTGTTCGTTTTGCGTGTTTCCAACATCGAAGTCATCCATGGCGTTCCAGGCTTCCCCAGATCCTACACTACACATACCAAGTACCTCAAAATGGTGGAGATGCGGTGTAACCAATCTTTTACCCCTAATTTGACAATTTTTGCATGGAAATTAGCGAATTTAATTTTCGCGGCCTTTCGTCATCTACATGAGACCATGTTAAGTTGCCAATCGCCATTTCTGTGTATCTTGTTCATAAAGGCACACTTACTCAAAGAAAATAGAATCAACAGATTTAATGGCTTATCCTCGGAGGATGAAGAAAGACATTTAGTAGAATTCGAAACATATGCAACGCTCTCTCAGCTTCAGGGACTGAATGAGCCGCGTTCCAATTACATTTGGAGGGTCCAGCGCTTACGTGGTACCGGTCCATATTGCCACTACATCGTGCGCAGTGGCACCAGGTCGAGCAGCTGTTCACTCACAAATATATAGACATGGATCTTGGCGCTAATCCCATACTCATTGCTGAGGGGGAAATGTTTTCATCGAGACAGTTACAGGTGAGGTAACCGATAGAGTTATATCACTCGGATCTAGTGAACCGGGGACGACGTCTGAGGAAAAGTGACAGAGACCTCCTCATCAAGTTTATTGAGGGGCTACCCCCCTCAATTAGCTTTCTATGTAAGAGCAGGCAATCCAGTGTCTTTGCCAAATGCCCTAACTTCTGCAAAGTTGGGAGAAGCATAATTATTATGGGTACCGAGATGGACATTTTGAACAATACCCCTTTGTCAATGCAGTTAACAACACGCCAGCACCAAAGGCTGAGATTGCAGAGCTAAAGCTAGAAGTTAAGCGGCTGGCCAGAGCATTGGAATCAATCAGCATGCAGTCTAACAAAACACAAACCTCATGTTTTAAGTGCAAGGGTGAAGGACATCAACAGAGAGATTGTAACCTTTATGGTGAAGGGGGTCGCAGGCCTGATTTCGTGTGTGGAGTGTGCCATCAGAGAGGACATTCAGTAGCATGCTGCAAAGTGAACAAATCTATAGGTTCGAAAAACTAACTACACCTAATGAAGAGACACGATCATTAGGCAAATGTGAAGAAGAAAGCATCCAGTCTGGCAAGTACACTGACACTCGATCAGGTGTTTCTAATGAAAGTGAAGCTGTAGACACTACTAATGATTTTACTACCGTTTCAGACAATACTGATGAGGACAATTTTCAATGTAAACAGTTTCTGTACATGCCAGTTAGCTTTGATTCCCATAAGGTGGCTGCCCTCTTAGATTCAGGTAGCTCTACAAATGTTGTATCAAAACATTGCTATGATTCTGTTCCTGACTCTTGTAAAGGGATGATAATCCCTTCCAAGTTTACATCAATTACTTTGGCTGATAAGCAAGAAGTACCAATTTTGGGCACAGTTAAACTGAAAATTCAAACTTTACATGGCAAACATAGCATTGTAGCACATGTTCTTGTTAACTGTTCGCATCCTCTTATCCTTGGTACTAAGTATTTGAAGAACCATGGAGTTATGTTAGACTTTGCAAAATGCAGAGTAAAGAGGAAATCTGCCAGAATAAGGAGCAGAAAATCTTTCATTATCAAAGCAAACTCTGTGATTGTGATTCAAGGTAAACTACCAGATCATGTATTGTTGAGTGCACAAGGTATTTGTGAGACCACAAAGTCTTTGCTCAATAGGGGTCTCATTGTTTGTAAATCCGTTATTGTATGCCCTTGTGACAGGAGATTGCCTGTCAAAATCCATAATCCAACTGATGAAGATGTAACCATTAGTCGTGGTTCGTTGCTGGCTAGTTTTACTGTGTTAGATGATTCTTATGATCTCTCTCGTGTATCTGACAGTGAGTGTGAACCCAAACCAAATGTGCTCATGTTACTATGTCTACATCCAAAGTGCCTACCTACCAGACTCACACCAAGCCAGTTGATGTGAATTTGTGTGATGAGAAAACCTCATTTCTCTTTTAATTCATGATATCTGGCAATGTAAGTGAAGGTGAGAGGTCTGAGCTTCATGAGTGTTTATATGAGTTCAAGGACATTTTTGTGACGAAGGAGAATCCAACCCTTGATAAGACAAATTTAATGGAACATCAGATACTTCTAAAAGACAACTATGTATCAAAACAGCAGAAGCCATACAGACTTCCTCCAGATAAGCGGGAAGTATTACGTCACCAACTCGATGAACTACTTAGACAAGGTATCGTATCTCTCGTTGACGAAGGTGAGGATCTCCCCATTGTTAGTCCGGTTGTGCTGGTGACTAAGAAAAACAAATTGAAGGCAGGACTTAAACCAGGGAGTAGAGAAGCAAGTCTATCTTTATTTCGTTTCTGTTGTGATTTTGGTCACCTTAACTCACAGTCTCAAGAATTCAGATACTATTCCAGATTTACAGGAACTAACGGAATCCTTCTCAGAGAGGATACCATGATATATAACGACTCTGGACTTGTCATCTGGTTTTTTTTCCAAATGCCAATATCAGCTGATTCACAGAAGTACACAGCCTTCAGCTCCTGCTTTGGTACTGACAAGTTTTTGAGACTTCCCATGGGATTATCTACTGCACCAAATAGTTTTCAGCTTCTCGTGGACAAGGTTGTAAAAGGACTGACATTTCACTCTGATTATTTCTACCTTGATGATGTTTTGATTTTCTCTGACAGTTTTTCTGAACATTTGAAAGATCTATATGAAGTGTTTAACAGATTCCGGAAGCTAGTCTTACATTTGGTCCATCAAAATGTGTTTTTGCTGCTCAAAAGTGTATCTATCTGGGACATGAAGTGTCTAAAGAAGGCATCAGTGCCCCTCAAGACAGAGTTAAAGCAGTGAAGGAATTTCCAGTTCCAACAAATGTACAAGAACTACAGAGAGTGTTAGGACTGTTAAACTGGTTTAGAAAGTTTATCCCTAACTACAGTGCTCATGCAAGCTCTTTCAACAAACTACTGATAAAGAAAGGAGCCAAGTTTCTGTGGCTTGATGAACAGCAAACTTCATTTGATCGTATCAAACAGTCAATGGTAGACTCACCAGTTCTTGTATTTCCTCGCTATGACGTACCTTTCAGACTTGCAGTTGACACTTCTAGTACAGGCATAGGGTACATGCTATACCAAATGGATCCGGATGGAGACTTTCCTCCAGCTAGCGAGAGTGGTGCAATTTGGTTCAAAGTCGCTCTCCACTTATCAAAGTTATGGACCAAACAAGTTAGAATTGTTAGGAATGGTGACTAGTGTGCTTGATTGTGCATCCTATTTGCGAGGTAGACATTTTGTTGCTGAATGTGGTCATCAAGCCCTCAAGATGAAGGGTGCTATTTATGAGAGATGATGAGCCATCTTGCAGCAGTTTGATTTTGAAATAGAGTATAAGCCAGCATCCCAAATGGTTGTGGCTGATTCTCTTTCTAGATGTTGTCCAGATGTGCAGCCTGTGTCTAGTCTTGACTAGGACGTTCTCTACTTTCCCTATGTTGACGAGAAGGTGGGACAAGCCATCCTGCCTGATGGAAATGATCTTTTCCAATACCTACAACTGAACGATGTGGATATCAAAGAGACTGTGAATAGAATCACAACACAAAGTGATGTTTTTTGTGCAGCTTGTGTATGAGCCTGAATATGATGAGGGCATGGAGGACGACTCGACCCTGAGCAAAAGGAGATCAAGAATG